GGGGGGGGGCGGATAGGGAGAAATCGAATCTATTCGAGGGAGGAACAATGAAGAGCGGTGCGCAGTGTGTGGTTAACGATTAAGGCAGGCAGCAGGAAAAGAAAGGAGTCTGAGGATCAGGATAACTAATTGCGTGGTAGCATGGGACAAAACACTTCCTTCAGATCGGACTAGCGCGGCTCGGCGGCAAATACGCCTGTTTGCTCTGTTTGTCTGCCCACCGGGGGGGATTAGCGGCTTGGCAGTCATGTGAAACGCCATTTTTCCTCCTTTGTATGCGTTCTTATAGAACGATTATTACTATTATTATTTTGTTATTTTTCTCTGGCGGTCTTGGATAGATAGCTACATATTACCAATTGAACAATCGCACGTCTCTATAATAAGCTCGAGTATGCGTGATCACTTACTACTAAGGGCTATTGCGGCACATGATTGGCTAGAGCTGCGGGCCGGTTTTCATGTTCTCCACTTCCATACGGACATCGATTTTGCGCGACAGTCAACTACTACAGAGCTTCCACTGAGGCTCGTCATGCCAGGGACATCTGACGATGAGGACGACTCACGCACTGCTTCTGTTGGCTTAGCGCGAGTGCGAGTGACCACCAGCGATCCCCCGAATTCAAAAGACAGCAGCCGAAAAAAAGGGTCGCGGAAAAAAGGTAGATCGAAGAAGAACGTTTTTCACGACTTCGTACCAAAAGGTGGCAAATTCTCTGCGACTCCATTGGCAGTTGACCCAGAGAACTCTACCTCCTCGTCCAGGTCCAATTCATTGGAGAGTGACGAAGGATCTGAGCAGAAAATGAACAAGCGGCAAAGGACCAATGCGCCTGCCATTAATTGGAATCAAGCGAGCCGCAGCACCATTCGCACCAGCCTTGGAACAAGGCCCACGCTTACGGGCGTGAAGAAACAAGCAAAGTCGGCTTTCGATGCAGTCAACGACAAGTATTTCCGAAGTCGCAGCGCATCCGTATCTGATGAGGAAGCGCATGAAGATAATCACACCGACGCAGCGAAAGCCGGTCAAAATACGAACGGTGATTCAAAAACATACTACGTGGATGACTCCGATGGCTCAGATACTGGAGAAGATTCGGAAGGGGACGACTCGATGATGTTGAATATTGGACAGCAGGGTGGTGGAAATGGCCCAGTTCTTGCTCGAGACGATAGCGTAAACGACTCCACCCCTCCGTTTGTCCTTGATACGTCCCCAAATCTTGGTCTCGCTTCGGCCAATACTTCCATCAACCAGGTTGAACAACAGCAGAAAGAAAAATTAGATATCCGAGAAAATGGCAGCGTGTTGTCTGATCATTCACTCACGCAACTTCCGCCACAGTCGAAAGCCGAAGCATTCGCGGAATTTGCCGCACTCTACAAAACATGGCCAGTTATTCTTGCAGATTTGGAGATCAAAGACCTTGAGATACAAAATCGCTTTTTCTATTATAATTCTAGTATCCATGACCTTGACTTAACAAAGCCTATTTCGTGCACTGAGTGTTTGAAGGAGGGGCATCTTGCCTTTATCTGCCCATCGAAGGAGGTTCGTCGTCTTTTTTTCTGAATAAAATAACATGAACTTGCTAATATCTCTCTCAGTGTAAAAATTGTGGCTCCTGGAACCTGCACGAAACTCTACTTTGTCCCAGTGTAAGGCGATGTCAGAGATGTCGGGAAGTCGGACATGATTCCCACACTTGCCCATCTAGCTTGAAAGCTTCAGCTGCCGAAACCCCATGTGATTACTGCGGTTCTGATACTCACACAGAGCACGACTGTGATAAGTTGTGGAAGTTTCCCAAAGTAGAGCCTCTTGAGGGTCCGATCAAAGTTTCAATTTCATGCAGTTACTGCACCAACAAAAATCATCTTTTCGGTGATTGTCCCCTTAAGAGGCTTCCTACAACGTCTAGCACATTCACATTGAAGGACTATGTGCCATCTATGATTACCAACCTCAATTCTGTTCTCGGGCCGAGGAAAGCAGATGATCCGGGAATGAGCATCCGTGGCCGTGCTGCTGGACATCCACAGGAAATAGATTCACCTGATGACGAGGACACGCTAGTACTTCATGGCTCACGAACGCAGTCAGGTTTCCGCGGTGGTCGAGGTAAGATTAGCTTCAAAGGCTCTCTAGGGCAAAACCGAGGTTTACACGGAGATCCTCCTCCCCCTTTGCCTCGCGAACCTCCTCCTCCTCCCATCAGGGACTACCGGAGTCGAGATGGCGACTTTCATAGACCAAGACAACGATCTCGTTCACCTGGGACTAGTTACAAACCCCCTCCTCGGTCAGGCAGAGGTGGCAGAGGGCGCAGTCGGGGCAGAGGACGTGATCAGTACCGTCCGGGTCGGCCGTGAATAACAATATAATTTTATCAGTAGCCTACATGATGGCTTCCATTTGCAGAAAGAAACCATATATTATCGTACTTGCACCTTCGGCGTTGTGGACGGTCTATATAAAAGAAGAGACGAATTATTATCCATGACAGCACAGCGTTTTCTCCATAGCCCTTATGAGACTGCTGTAGTAAAGGTGGCTTTCATTTGCATATAGATTTATGAGTTGCTATGCGAAGATCTTAATTGCTTATGGAACCTGCACAGTTGTCGCCCACGAATCCGTTTTCTAAAATGTCTATAAGGTCATCAAGTTTTGAAATGCATAGGTCGGTGTGCACATGCTCTCTCAAATGTGAATTTCGATCATTCACAAGGAGCACAGTGGCTGCACCAGCGGTATGCCCGGCAGTCATATCATCAATGCTATCTCCCACCTATATCAAGCGCACAACACGAGAAAGTCAGCCATCACGTCTATGCTCTCTAAGGATATAAGGGCATCCTTCATACCATAATCATACGCTCTGCACGATCTTTCAGTCCCCATTGCCGTCCGATATGCAGAAGACCCGAGGGCTCTGGCTTTGGAAGGAGATCGGGAGTGTCACGCGTAACGATTGGTTCAAAGATATGGTCCGGTAGATGATTCTTTAGGAGATGTGTTACAGGGGCCCTGTGAGTATAGCTTTCTGAGAACCGAGCTCGTATTTATAATTAGAGGAAAGAAGCTTCGGTTAGCCTTACTCGAAGTTTTTTGTGCACAATGCCCGGCGTATATTCTTTCTCTCTAGGTAGTCCATCAAATCTAGAAGACCCGGCTGCGGCTGCTGAGAAAGCATTGCCTCGCGCTCAATTGCCTGGACTTTGGCGACGGCTTCTGTGCGGTCATCTTCGGTGGGAAGACCGCGAATATGCTCTAAAATATCGGTCGATTCGTCAATGCCTAGAGCAGCTCTGTCGAAGAGAACTATATCAATAACCTGTTTCTTGATGCTGTCTTGCAGAGAACTAAATCATCTTGTTGTCGGGGTTGGCATACCGCATTTGCGGAAACATATAGTGCTGCGGAAGGCTGTTGCAGGAGAGGTCAGCATACGATCTTGAGCAACTGTGTTTTCAGAAGAAAGAAATACCAAAGTGTCCCATCGACATCAAACACTATGCCCTGCAAACCGGGGGCATCAACATCTGGATTTCGAGCGGACCCGCCTCTCAACGGCGCGAACCTGCGGGGTCGTGCTGGCGCATTCTGCATGGATGCCATGGTTCTTCGAAAGAGTAGAGATGGAGATGCAGATCGAATAAAGCGCGGCCGTGGAAGACAAAAAGGGGTCATCTAGGACATTTCTCAGTATTGATGGGTGAAAGATGGTGCAGGTTAGGTTCTTGGACTTTGGTACGTCGGGGGAAATCTCCACTTTCTCTTTTCGGCTTCTCGAGAGTCAGTCCAGCCACGGGCAACTGTAAGTGACGCTGTGACGGCACGAACAGTCGCTCCTTCCCTCGATGACATGGACGTTGTTCTTTCTTTCCCTCAGCAGTCTATCGTGCATTCTCGAGATCGACTCTAGACATGGCAAAGCAACACTGTATCAGAAAATGTCTATCCTATTCTCAGTCTATGATATCTTACTACCGGAATCATTATGGAAGCCAGAGCCTTAGCACAACTTCTAGATGAGGAGAACCATTCCGTTTGTCTGTATTCAAATTCATTGCAGCTTCTTTACCTTGCGTTGTGGGCCGACTACCTACTTATTCTACGCTTCTTCACCGCGGTCATCTACAATGTCAGGGCTCTCCCGGAATCCCTTCATACGCACATTATCAGAGTCGAATCTCGCATCGTTAACATTGCTATTTCCATCGTCCAGATAGTGCCAGGCGGAGCAGTGGCTGAAAAGTACCGCCGACGATGCTCGCGAGATGATAGTTTAGAAAGCAGTCTGTCGTCTACAGACCATGCAGATGACCTACTAGCCCCCAGGGACAGCTCTCTTGATTCCAGTGGCGTTCCAGACATGTTTCTGCACCAGCCTGACATCGCATATCTCCGGCCTCAAGCACCTCGACCTCCCTATCGTCGCCACCTGGAGAACTCCAGACGCCCTTCCTCAATAATATCGCCTTTACAACCGGCAGTCACAAACCCCCGTCGAAACATGATGCTTGATGGAACCGTTTCACCTCCAGCGTTCATCGAACCTATTCCACGTACTCCTATGCCACCTATACCTACATTCATTGCTCGTATGCCGCTTGCCTCTGTTAGCGACTCTATCTATTCTTCCTGCTCCACGCAACTTCACGCTGCCCAATGTGATAGGCCTGTCAACACTAGTCTAGAACGAAGGCCATCTGCCGAGGCTCAAACATACGCTGACTTACTACCCAAGCGCTCGTTCGATGACGCCAACGATCCTCATCCACACTCCAGCAAGGCAAGCCCGTCTAGCAATACTAGCCCTGAAAATCCATCTTCCGGAAATACGTCGAGCCATTCAGACAACTTCCCTTTACGTTTTTGCCAGGATTTGGAGCATAATACCCTGGCAGCAATGGCGCAGCGCTATGCGAGAATAGGCCATAGAAGAAGAAGTAGGAGTATCAGGTCATCATCTGCGCCGATACCTCCTGTAACCGCAAAAGAATTGAAGCCTTGACGAATCAATGGCGAGCAATGAAAAATGTATTCATAAACACCGAAACAGTTTAAATATCTCCCATCCTGGATAGTGTGGGAATTGTCTGTATTAGAGTCGACCGATTCGTGTCTTACTTAGTTCAAGAAGAGAATTAGACCATCAAAAGAGTTCAAGAATCCGCTTTTTATTTTTGGGAATTTGACTGAAAGTATTCGAGTACGCCAGAAGAAAAGCGCTGCATAGTTGGAAACATTACGCTAAAACTGGATACATGCCTCTGACAAATCTGAATAGGACTGTTCATTTGAAGGTGAAAATAAAGTGACCTTGAAACTAAACCTCCCATTTGATATCATGTACACAAGAAAATGCATGTAGTGAAAAACAAAGAAAAAGAACTAGCCAATGAAGATGGGTTTTCATGAATCACGTTAGGTTTCGTTATCGACATGTATGGATCATCGTATGGAAAATAATGGACAAGTGAAAAATTAAGAGGGAAAAGAAAAATGCTTAACGCAGAGACAGGCATATCATGCCTACCCATCCGAGCGTTAGCTAAATGTGAAACATGTGGCTCCGTCGCTGTCTTCTTTTGTATTATCTTAAGGCGATAACCCGAAAGTAAGATGTGAGATAGGAAAGATATGAAAGGATTTTCGTTGTTTTGAATAGGCGAGATCAATAATCATCGGCATCATAGTCTATTCGGTTGGGGCTCCCGCGATACTGATGACGCTTGACGTTGCTAGGGCTGTACTGACCAGAGCTAGTAATTGGCCGAGGACCAGTAAGCTTTCGAGTAGGTGGCTGAGTGCCAGGTGATGCGCTGCCACCACTGCTTTGGGTAGCAAACCGGTCAGCATGTCCAGACATTTGGTCGTCCTTGATCTTGGGAGGCCGCTGTGGTACTAATGGCTCTGCGTCCTTGATCTTCGGAGGACGAGGTGGTCCTCTGCTGGAACTCACTTCGGAATGTCCGGCATCGGAAATTGGTGTCAAGCGGGCATTTCCATTACTATACCGGTTGGTATTGGTGCCATACTGAGGCAGGCTTGACTGAGACCCCCATCTCTCCGAAGTTGGCGATGTCGGAGCGTAGTCCTGCGCTTGATACTCCAAATGATTTTGATAGCGGTCAGTCGGGCCCTTCTGTGGCTGCGGATGCTGTAGGTTGAGGCTGTCGCGATGTGCTTTGTATTTGGGTCCCTCGGACACTTGAGATGGAACAAGTGGAGACGGTGGCCGGTTGTCCTGCTGCTCGTCATCCACCGTGAAGGTAGACCGAAGTCGATCATCACCATGCGGATCGTAGAATCCGCCAGCGTTATAGTGGTTCTGGTTGGCTAAATCTGAGCCGGATCGAGACATCTCCGATGATGGGCGCTCCTTCCGACTGGGCTGTATGCTGTTGCGGATACCATCTCCCACCGTCGAGGCAGTTGTCTTGGACCATCGTGAGATCTTGAAGAAAGACGAGCTGCTTGATTTGTGTTTGCGCGATTTCTCTTCTGATTTTCTTGGAGTAGTCTCCTGACTTCCTGAACCGGTAGGTACGGGTTTTCGGGGCGGTGTGCCAAGCTGCCCAGGGACGCTCCGCTCATCAACAACCCGCTCATCATAGGGCACTTCTCTTTCCAGAAGTGGCTGTTCATACGTATCAATCTCTTCGTCTCCTTCGAGCACTGTGCTGATACGGTTTTCTGATGGTCGACGCATGGCCATTGGTCGATTATCGGCTAGTAGCCGAGAAGAGTTAGATGTGTATCCCGACTGCTCGCCAGGAGAACCAGTTCCTGCTTGTCCTTCAGGTTCATAACCGTCTGCATAAACTCCTCCATTGCCATTGGAATTGATACTGGCGGCGTTGGCTGACGGGCCTACGCCTCGACCTTCCTGAGCAGTTCTTAGCGCTTCTACTTCGTCAAGAAGCTGTTCAAGCATGTCTTCGATCTTTGTTAAATCATTGGAAGATTTCACGCTCAAGCTCTTGAGAGCCCTCCTAAACACGTTTCTCCGTTTTGCCTGTGCTTCCTCGCCATACTCCGCTGCAGCGAATTGGCGATTAGATCTTGAAGCAGGTAGAGGACGTGGACCACCAATAGCTCGGGTGCGTTCATGTTGTTTTTCGTTCGCTTGCATGAGCATATCATCCTGTTCAGCGATATACTTCTTCATTTCTAAGAACGAGCTCCGCATTTCAGCTGCGCTGCGAACAAGCGTAACTAATATTTCGGTATCTCTGGCATTGCGTTGGGCATCTCTAACAGTGAGCTAGAGTGACGTCAGTAAACGAACATGAGGTGGAAATCGAGAACAAGAAACTTTGATACTTACATGATTCATCAAAGCAATGATGTCTTTCGATTCAATGCTATCGATGCCCCGGCCCGTAGCACCATCGTAGATGGGAGAAGCCATGCCGTGAGAATAACCGCTGAAGTGGCGTTGGTGACCAGGGCTAGTAAAAGGATCATCGTCGACATCTCTGTTGTCAAAGAGAAGGGGAGGATTCACATGATCCAGAGTGCTGAATTTATTCCGAGGCTCTGGTGACGCATTACTTGGAGACATAGGGTTGGCAGCAGAGATATAGCCTTCGTCCTTGGCACCGGGGGGGGTCGAGAACATACGACCATCGATATAGCCCCGGTCATAAGTTCGATCATAGCCGACTTTCTGGTCAGCGGCAGCTAGACCCAAACCGGCACCCAAAGCTCCGCCGATGGCTGCAGCTGCAGCTGCATTGGTGTCATGTTGAGATGTAGATTGAAGGTCTCTGGCTTGTGAGGGGGTGGTATTATATGGCCAATGGTCTCTGCTTTCATGAGGGACGCTTCCAATTGGGCCTTGGATGATGGACGGGTTAGTGTTGATTTCCGACTCCTCTTCCTCCTCTTCAAGCTCATCTTCCTCTGGGGTGATATCGCGATGGCCTTCTTCTAGAGTAGTCGCATCGGGAGGAAATATTTCATCATGCTCACGACTGTCTTCCTCTGATTGAGTAACGCTTTGAGGAGGCGATGCAGCGCCAAGTCTCTTGGTAAATGACTTCTCATCGTGATTGTGAAGATCATATTCATGTTTCAAGGGACTTCCCCGGCGGGAGTTAGGGAGGCTATGGCCATGAACTTCTTCGGCAACACTACCATTTACCGATCGATTGAGTGAATCCGCCTGTGACCGAGCCTGGGAGAGACCAGATCTCGCATCTAGAACAGATGGATCCAATAAAGAGGCCACTGCAGATTCAACGCCAACTGCAGTTACAAACTTTGGATTGACTGCGACTCCTTTTGTGAGCTGCCGAGGGGAATTGTCATACTCGACGTGGTCATCGCCATCGTCAGAGTAATTGATTTCATCATTTCTTAAATCATCATCGCCGTGCTCATCGTAAGCGTGAGCCGGGAAACCTTCATTCCAGTCTGCTTTAGCCGTCTCGCCTTCGATATCTCTGCTCGTTTCATAGCCCAACTCGGTAGCTTCTCCATCATTCTGCTTCAATATTTCGCTTCGACTATCTAGACGAGTCGATCTCGCCAGTTCTGTACTAGGCGCAGAAGACAAAGACTCAATTGAGTATCGTCGGCTATTAGTGCCTTTTTCTCGACTTTCGTCCTCTAGCTGATCTCCACGTAAATCATGATCGCTGGCAACGCTTTGAATAGGGCTCAAGGCACGTGGGTGCTGCATACTGTCCTCCGGATCCGGCATGTCATGATATGGGTGATGTCCAAGTAGGTTTTCAGCGGCAGCCGCAGCTATCGCACCTCCAGCTCCCTCGAGTAAGACGTCGCCATCAGAAGAACCAGCTTTGCCGTAAGTCTCATTGTCACTACGGTGGCTCTGTCGAGAACTTGATTCTCTCTGATTGCTAAGTGGCGTGCGGTTTGGAGTTCTCGGTGTCGGAGAGCTTGCGCCACGCGGAGAGCCCCGAATAACCTCTTGAACCTGGCGTGGTGTAGGAGTCTCTGAATCAGCCGTTCTTTGAGAAAGAATAGAATCGCGAGTAAGCTCGGTTTCAATGTCACTACGGAACGGCATGGGTGGGACATTGTGTTTCTGAAACACCAACTCCGTGTCAGAATCGTTGATACTCGCAGTTCTGCTACTGCTCTTCGACTTCCGCTTTCTTGGCTTCTTGTCGAGACTGGACTTCGAATCGTGGTGCTTGAGGGCCGCAGCCGTCAGTGCACTTCCGACAATGCCTGCAGCGGCGGCATCTCTCAAACCTTTACTCTTTTGGCGTCGCAATACCTCTTCCTCCGTGAATGCTCGTTGATTACCAGGAAGCGACCCTTTCCGAACGCGAATAGATTCCTCGGGGGAAGCGGTTTGTGATACCTTCTCCCGGCGTCGCTCTTTGTGGCGTCTTCGGCGCTCTTCAGGGGTGACCGGCTCCTCTATCTCGGTATTTGCCACAAAAACAGAGCTTCTGCTTACGTCAGGAGCGCTTGAATGCTTTGAAAGACGCCTCTTTGGTACATCTTGCGAAGTAGCACCCGCAGTGTCGATTGCATCACGTTCAAATTTCGTTTTATTGACGTTTGCTTTTTGATCATGTTTGAGTTCCTTTAGCTCAGGAAGAATTAAACGCCGGATTGCGTCTTCAACAGTCTCGAGAAACTTGGTATTGTTAAGGGATGACTTGGACGTATTGGAGCGAAAAGATATAGCGTCGCCAGACTTGTGGCGGGACGAGACGTTCGAGCCACTAAGCAAGCTGGACTCCACACTGGGTTGCTCTTCGTCCTGAGACTTGTGCGAGCGTTTCGTCAAAGGCTTCGTCTCAGTCGCAAGAAGATCACCCGCATTCAGCTTCTGGGCCACTCTGTAAGCGATCCGTTCGCGGCTTAAGCTTCGACTCCTTCGTCTTGACGGTGCTTTGAGGAGGTCAGCTTCGGATGTATCGCGGGCCTTACCTAAGCTCTGGCTCTGGCTCCGCTTGCGCTGTGGTACTCTGGAGACCATAGACCCGTCGAGCATGCTATCAGCTGGCATAGAGGATATTTCAGAAGTCGGTTGCATATAGCGATCATTGGATAAATCGCTAGTGTTTTCACGATCTAGGAATTCGATCTCCAATGGTCGGCTATCTTCCTCTTCATCAGTGATGCTCTGGCCGTCATTTCCTTCAGTAATGGCCTTCTGCTTTGATGGAGTGCTGACAGAGATGCGTCTAGTGTACTGCGGCCGCTTGCTGCTACCGCTCTCACGAATCCGAATGGTGTCACCCTGGTCTCGGTTTTTCCTGCCAGATGGGATTACCTTAACTCTGACACTTGGCCTTGAGTTGAGCCTTGAGCTACTCTTCTCACGTTCGAAGTACTCGATAAGAAGAGAAGTCTGCGATTGGTGGGATGTCCGCGACATTTTCGAGGAATCCTCTTCGTCTTTCTTGTGTGACCGGCGTCGGGTGGATATAGTGATGGGGCTGCCATCGTCGGGCAAGGAATAAGAGGACTTGTCAGTCCGTCGGGAGACATCAGTAGCCATGTCAGTGTTTGTTATGCTGCTTCCCGTAGTGTCGATAATTGATTCGGTCGGTGCAGGTAGCAAAGGACGACGGGAATTAACGCCCATGGTGTTGCTGGTTTCAGCGAGAGGAGTGCATAATCAAAACAGTTTCCTGGCAATGAGCAAAGTTTCTTCCTTGAATTGGTCTTTTCTCTCCTTTTTTTTCTGAGGAGAAAAAAAGGTTGACTTGTATGTATAAACGACACCAAGGACAAGATGCCTAGCCAGACAGGCTTGTCAGAATTGAGTACAATGGAGACGCAAGCTTCAGTCACGTAGCTGATGATATGTGGGACAGAACAAGTCAAAAGTCGCTTGCAAATGTTAAAAAGCTCCTTACTGTTGCCGTGACTGTAAGACTAATCCGAATAAGAGCTCCAAAGATGAGCGACGACCCCTCCACCGCTATTGATTAGAAGGTGTCTGGTTCAAACAGGGGATTGCAAGCCCAATCCAAATCGTCCGCAAAAACAGACCGCTGATACTATCGATAGCGGTAGGGACGGCAAGGGGAACGCAAAAGAGGGCAAGGCAAATGAAGAAAGGATGCTGCAGCTTCAGAGCAATGTACAAGGTAATAATAATGATAGAATTAAGGATGCAGCAGAGGAAAAAAAAGCAAGGAGAGAGGAGAGAGAAAAAGAAGAGCGACACAAGTTAACAGAAAGGGCAGGAAGAGAGGCTGGGGATTCGATCGCTGGGCGGCGGGCGGCTGGGTCGAGCCTTCCCGCCAGTCACAGCCGTGGGACTGACTGACAGGTACAACAAAGCGAGTGGCTGGTGCGCCTTCAACAGCAGATTCAATTCATTCTCATTTACGTCTACGGAGTACGGTCTCTGTTCTGTTGCAACCATAACCACTCACGCCGAGTGACACAGCAACATCGCGAACGAAAGCTAGCCAGTGCCATGCAGAAGGATCAGGGCGCTTCTTCACTCTATATCTGGATGCGACGCTGACTTTCCCCTCCAAGATCCCAATCCAACTACCGCCAATTGCACATGGCCACTCGGTGCAGTCCTGGCTACACAGCAGCAATAATGTGTTGAATTCGAACAAGGACCAACCCAGGTCTGATGTTCAAAATCAAGAGCGAACAGGCTGGTCTCCTAGACGACCGCCGTTCGCTATTGGCGGTTGTGGGGCCGCTAGTCATGTACTTGGCCGCAGCGATGAGTTGTTCAATCGCCCCTCGACGACCGAGGTTGATCTTGCAAGGTCATTGGGCGTCTGTCTTTGCTGCTGTTCTGGAGGATAAGGCCAGGTGTCTTGTCTAGGACTTCACTTCTCACCATAAGCTATGGCCGGGGGACGATGCCGGAGGTTGGTGGCTGGTTCGTCTGCTTCGTGAGGCTGAATTAAACGCAATCGAGGAACCGCGATAACGACGGCTTTCCCACCGCAACACATAGATCAGGCGAGAATATCTACAGACCACCGTTCAAAAGGGCAACGTCCAGAGATGCTAGTGTTAATGTGTGATCAATCGGCCGCCATTGCTGTTGGTGGGAAACATCCTTCACAATCGATGTTGTATATTTCTAGCCGGCTAGAAAATCGACCACTTTTCGGCTGGGTTAAGAATTCTAGCCGATTTCGAGACGAGTTGATATATATACTTAACAACCATGGAATTGAAACTTCATTTGATCCGAGAAGGATCCAAGAAAGTGTGCTGGGATTACACAAGACCGCGATTTGAGTTTGAAGTATAGGCAGCGGAGTACACTATGAGGCCTATCAAACTCGACTTGAAGAAGTTCAACAGCCCAGCCCAGTGTGGTCTTCGATTCTTGATTGGTTTCGTCAGTAAGACTAGACACAAAGGCCGTGCCAAAGGGAAGATTCAGAAAAGTAAACTTTTTGATTTGGGCTTGAGATCCGCAACTTCCAGGCCATCAAAAAGCATAAGCAGCCTCTTGTTGAAAAGAGTAAGCTTGAGGGTTGTCTGACAGTTAATGATATCAGTGCTTATCTGAGATAAGATATACAGCACAGTCCTGCCACTTTCGACACGCCTCGTGCCACACTTCTGGAAAGCCGTCCTGACTGATGGGCAAAGCGAATGAACAATGCATTTACAGGCGCGACTGAAATTATGTCTCTTCTAAGCGCGCAAATCTCCATCCAGGAAATCCTAGGCATATTGTCAATTTGCCAATGACAGACACATGCCGAGACAATCCCCCCCCCAAAAGACTGGCTCAAGCTTGGAAATGCTACCTCCACTTATCGAGTCGTATATGCAGGAATAAAGCTGAAACATCAAGCTTAGTTGGAAAACCGTCACGTGAAAGATACCCGGAGGTCTACAAAGTACAGGCAGATCAGAAGGTATAAATTTATTAAAGCCCTGACTGTCAACACTATGGCATGACGGCATGAACAAGGGCGAGTTAGGGAATTACGTAGTGATCGTTACGGCCATCACTTGACAGCGTGCTCAGCTAGTGGGGGCAGGAGTAGATCACTTTTGGAGACATTTGGCGATCTGTGGAAAGGCAGTGCTCACGTTGGTTGGCACTACCATTCCGTATACAGGAGTTGACTATGTAGTATGAGACACATCTCAGACCCGGTTGGAACAGGACGATCAAACGTCAGTAGCGCACGGAGTAAGTATCCCTCGTCCGTTTCAGGAAGACGATTTGGAAGGGAGTCTGGGCGGGCGAGCGAGACGAAAATAGGACGCACGGGAGCTAGAAGCGCTAGCCAATCAGGCGGCGTACCACGTAACGTTACCTAAGAGCTAGTACGTATGCGGGCTGTGGCTATGCACTTGTAATATCCCACTGACCGTGCAACCTTTGGCATCATTCTCCGCACAGCTCGAACAGAGAACGCTGTACAATGCATCTCGAACAACTCAGATGGGTGGTGCAGGAACGAAGACATTATACGATGATGATAATGATGATGATGATGATGTAAATTTAGAACAGGCAGACGGTAAATTTAAATTTGTAGATCGGGCTAGCCACCTGCGCTAGACAAGCCGAGACCCACTCCTTGGCGCTTGTGCGCAGTATCATTGGCTGTCAGTGGCCGGGGCCAGACCGTTTTCCGGAGTTACAGTGCGCTCGTATTGGGCGTAAGCAATACGAAAATGAACGTCAAGTGCCGCGGTCTTCCGACTCTCTGCACACGTATCGGCATTACGGAGGCCGCCGTAATTACCCCGTACCTTGGCTCCACGACTCCAGCCAACCACAGCCCGGGCCAGCCATTCCGCGCTGCTCACTCGTCATCTGCCTCCCTGGCTTGCCGTATCCGGCCTAGCGCCCTGTCTCACCTGGCTGTGGCAGGCTCCTTCCCTGGCTTCCCTGGGCGCTTAGAAGGCAGGTGTGACCCCCCCCGATCTCCTTCCAGGCCGTCTTTCTTCGTTCTCCATCTCAGTCCAGACAGACAGACAACCTGCTGCTCTCTTGTCTGCCCTGCGTCTCTCGGAAGCCGCTATTATCTTCAAGCTCGACATTCGTTTTGTATCATCTTTCCTCGTCTCGATATTTCTCTTCTCCCTTTCGCGCTACCCGGATCCCACTAGTTACATTCTTTCCCCATTGTCGTCGCCCGTCGTGACCGCAATATTCGAATCGCTACAAAACAAAAAGAAAAACAACAAGAAAAAGAACTTAACCCGCTTGAGTTTCACACGTCCGCTCTTTCAACCTTCAAAATATAATATCACTTAGTCTCGGTTTGATACCGCCTGTTGGACGATTCTCCTCCAACCACCCCTGGAACGAACACCTCAAGCTCGCAAGTCACTACGACGTAACATTCAACGCAACAAGGTACCCTTGCCAGATTCAGATGGTGACGCCATCTCTGAGCGTATAAGGGAATTTGTCACCCCGCGACGAGCGACCACTCTTCATCTACGACTTTCCGCTTCCGGCCGTTTATAGTACTTCCGCAAAAACCTTACTTGACACTGATCTCATCTTGGGTTATCGTTGATTGTCTCTCAGCTTCTTCATACGAAGCTCTAAGCACGAACTGCAAAGATGCGATTATTAGCACAACTTTCGTATCTTTTGGCCCTCGTGGCCTTTTTGCCGCTGGCCACGGCCGTCCGACTCCTCAAGTCTACCTCTCTAATTGAATGCATGGCCGATTCGAATTTCACAGCATCCCTCTTCGAAGTCACCTTCTTCCCGGACAACCGATCACTTGCTCTAGATATCAACGGTATGTCAGATATATCGGGTAATGTCACCGCAGAATTAAGGGTTACTGCCTACGGCTTCACCGCTGCAATGGAGACACTCAACCCTTGTGAATTGAATATCGAAGCACTCTGTCCAATGCAGGCCGGTCCTATCCCTCTCTCAACTTCTCTCACTGTCTCGGAATCGGTCATTAAGGAAATCCCTAGTATTGCCTATACCATTCCTGATCTGGATGGTCAAGTATTCGTATATATCAATTCGACAGATACTGGTGAAAGAATTGCTTGTCTGGAAGCCAGCCTTTCAAACAACCAGACCGTTTATCAAAAGGCGGTTGAATGGGTTGTCGCTATCATCGCTGGTCTCGGCCTGGTGGCTTCTGCCATTACTTCCGGGCTCGGCCACTCCAATACTGCCGCGCATGTGGCCGCTAATGCCTTGTCCCTTTTCGGTTTCTTTCAGGCCCAGGCTATGATTGGCGAAACGGCCGTTCAAATGCCACCTATCGTGGAATCATGGACTCAAAACTTCCAATGGAGCATGGGAATTATTCAGGTCGGTTTCTTGCAAACAATTGCTACGTGGTACCAACGCGCCACGGGCGGTGAACCATCTACTCTTCTCTCAAATCTTGCGACTACATCGGTCAATGTTCAAAAACGATGGCTCGACGCGGGGGCTGTACTCTACAACCGCAGCCTAAATCTCCTTCAGAAAAGGGACAGCTCAGGCGGTGACACTCTGACGGTAACAGTAACGGGATTGGAAAGAGTTGGTTTCAAAGCCGATATGGAGAGAACAAACATTTTTTTGACTGGTTTAATTTGGTTCGTTGTGTTTGTCTCTTTCACCACGATTGGTGTCGCCGCTTTCAAGGGTATCTGTGAATTGTTGGTCAAATACAAGAAGATGCCGAGCGACAAATTCCAGGACTTCCGCAATGGATGGAAGATTGTCATGAGAGGTATTCTCTTTCGGCTCACTCTTGTTGGTTGGGCTCAGATGTGCACTCTTTGCTTCTGGGAATTGGTTGAGCGTGATTCCGCTGCCGAGGTGGTACTTGCTGTGATCATGTGGTTGTCCATGGCAGTCGTGTTGGCATGGGCAGCTTTCAAAGTCATCACACTGGCTAGACGTTCTATTGCCATGCACAAGAACCCAGCCTATATTCTTTACTCTGACCCGGCATGTCTGAACAAGTGGGGTTTTCTATACGTGCAATACCGAGCCACGGCCTACTATTTCGTCATCCCTGTCTTGGGTTATTTGCTTCTAAAAGGTCTGTTCATTGCCTTTGGGCAAAATGCCGAAGTCGTCCAGGCCGTCGCCTTTTTGATCATTGAGGCCGCTTTCTTGGTTGCCGTTAGTGTTATTCGCCCGTGGATGGATAAGAGAACGAACATATTCAACATCTCTATTGCTGCTTGCAACTTTTTGAACGCAATATTCTTACTTGTGTTCAGCAATGTTTTCAATCAACCAGTAAGTCTAATTTCCTTCCTCGCTCATTTTTATTTACTGTCCTTTTCTTTCTAACCTTTTTTTTTTCCGTCACAGGGAACGGTCACTGGTGTCATGGGCATTGTTTTCTTCATCTACAATGCAGCTTTCGCTTTGGTCCTTTTGATCCTAGTTCTGATTGCCTCCATCTACGCTATTGTCTCGAAAAACCCAGATATGCGTTACCAACCAATGAGGGACGATCGGGGTTCGTTCATCAAGAGCAACTCAGCCCTCAACACGGAATTGGACGCTTTAGCAAACACTGCCCGTGGAGGTGGAGAAATGGAGCTCAAGTCGACGGCCTATCACCCTGCGTATGAGGACGAGTCCAACTCGCTCTCGAGCGGAAATGGGGCCAGTGTCAATCACCACCATGACATTAGCAAGGCTCCTCCGTCTCCCATTGACCCCTCAGTGCCATTATTCCCTAGTCATGCACCACCTTCATACGACTCCAACGGGTATGGCAACGATATCGAACGGAGTAGGTCCCCAGGACAACTGGGAGACTTCAATCCTGCGTCTGCATTAGCCATGCAGAATTATAGACAACAGCATAACTCTAGTCCTTGGCAACGAGGTGCAGGCTACGACCATTGAAGTCATTGAAACATTTGTCTGCTTATTACGACGAAGACATGTCATAAAATATTTGGCCGTTTTTTCTTTTGCATACCTTTTTTAACATTTCGTTGAAAGTTACTTGAAGTATTTCAAGTGTCATATGTACCTCGGCTGCCCATAAAAATCAGCCGCATTCTTTCATTTTTCCCTTCAATATTTCTATTATTCTGACGAGAAGTCACACTCGTCGACTGATATATACCAGGCGTTTGTTCCTCGCTCTTCTACTCTTTCTCTTTTCCTTTCCTATATTAGAACACAGCATGTGCGGGATCTGGCTTAGTTATTTGGGTCATGGGTTTTTGTTCTTCCCGTCCACTTTTTGGGATTTATATGAAGTCATCTATTCATTTCCCTTGTAATTGTGTTTATTGGGCTGGCGTTGCTTTTTCCTTCTTGTATGTAAAAAAATTTCTCTTGCTAAGAGCATGGCCATTGGTGCTTGGTCGGTTTACTTCAGCTTGGTTCAATGTGATTCGATTGTTCGATTCATTCATTCAATGTATTCTATCTTCGTTAGTAGTCCAGTTCAAAACACCTATATTGCAACCTGCTTCTTGATTTTTGGTAGTTGATACATAACTCGATAGTAGCAATTCGCGTTTCATAGTCTGAATAAATATTCGAATGTGTATGGATCCCAATTCCGTTGCATACACTTTTTGATTATTTTACACGTAACTAATGACAGTGCGCACTAGAATTTCACCTTCCCGACTTTTTATTATCTCTTTGGTTTGTACGAATAATTCCGATCTCATCGCTTGTCCCCAAAACCCGGTGGAGGATATGACGACCCAGGCGCACCGGGAAGAGAATGGACAGGAGGAGGAGCGAATTGAGCCATACCTCCAGGCGGAGGCGATATGCTTGAACCAGCAGCGCCAGGGGTACCACCTCCAGCAGCAGGCGCGCCTGGGAAGCCAGGTGGCGGGGGAAAATTTGCTGGTAGACCGCCGGGAGGTGGGAAAGGTAGCCCTCCCGGTGGAAGAGTCATGCCGGCTGGTAGGGATGGTGGTGTAGCGGATGATTGCGAATTTGGTGCTGCGCCAGGGATGGGGAATGGGGGTTGGAATGGGGGCATGCCGCGGCCTCCGGGCACTGAATAAATACAGTCAAGTTAGTCTATTATGTGTCGGAAATAGATGATCTTTTGACGGAAGGCGGCGAACGTACAAGGTAACCCCCCCGGTGTGCCAGGAGGCGGAATACCGAATGGGGGTGGTATCTGACCAGGTCGTCCTGCACATGGTTCCTCATCAGTATTTATAAATTTTATAAACTTCTATCCTGCAGCAACGGCATACGTACCGGGCAATCCAAACGATGACGGCGGCGGCGGAAATGACCCCGGAGCTCCAGGGTGAGGGTGTTGCTGAAGTAACAGGGGGTTCGCTTGTCCTTCGGCAGCGTATGAATTCGTGATGGAGTCGATTACTGATTGTGCTTTTTCATGGCCGATTTCTGCGATGGTACGTTAATATCATTAACATCATATAGATGCGAGCGAAAGGTAAGAACCCGTGTGGTTAAAGAGAGATACGCACGCTGATAATATTCAACCACATTACGAAGGTGGTTTCGACCGGCATTGTGAGCCTTGCGCACGCTCATCGAGTCATGCGTTAGGTAGACATCGCAATAATCGCCTATGATAGAAGATCGCATTAGTTTGTGTCTATTCTGCAGGAAGTTGCTCTTCGACTTCTGGAAATCAATGCATCGTGGTAACCCCTACAAAAGAGTGCAGATAGAACGTCAGCTTTATGTTCAGATCACAGAACTATGAAGAAAGAGAAAACTTATATTTCGGCATCTCGATAATGTCGTTTGCAAGAGTTGCGCTTTTGAAAGCGCGCGCTCAAGTGAGGAAATAATCACGACAATTCTTTTTGCGATAAACCTGGTCGTGGTTAACCCTGCGGATACTCCGGATACTCAATCTGGTATATGCAAAAGTCTGGTAAATAGGCGCGTCGCGTGTGTCGAATGTCACTGTGAAATGCGAAGTTGAATGTTGGAGCAAATCGATAAGCTTCTTTGATAGGCTGGTGATTTTGGGGCGGTGTGAAATGGCAAAATAGGCCATATCGCGCTAGTATGTTTTGGGCACGGGACTGTTGACTCGTTTGAACGTAAACGTACATATGCTGTGTAGGCTGGGATGAGAGAATGCTAACTGCTGTTGACCAATGATCGTGATTAAGCGTAAATTGATTTTAGTAGAGTGGATTGGCAAATAACCTAGGTAGTTACATTGAAACGAAAAGTGTGATGACTCGTGAAGAAACGTATGAGCCTCATAAACAAATGATTGCTTAATTGGGGATAATATTCCAATAATGATTAGTAAATGAATGAATTGATGGAAATATGTAACTAACTAACTAGTTACGTATTGTTCATGTATTTGTTAGTCACAGGCCATGGGCTCGGCCCAGCATTAGGTCTAGGCCCTTTTCCAAAACCGGTAAAGATGGAATCACCTGCCGAAAGGGGTAATTTTGCATTACGGAGTAAAATGAGGTGAACTGAGGTGGAAAATCTTTTCAGTGGATACTTACGAAATCCTGTGACTTGGTGAGTCATGGCAAGATGTACTGATGTAGGCAGACTGGTTTTGAGGAAGGGATTTTCGAAGAGTGGTGATTATTGATTCAAGTGATTATGGTGTGCTATCATACAAACAAAAAGACAGTCACTAGGTAGGGGGTATCGTGCTGTACGAAGATCCATTGCGAACGCTTCGTTGCAAAGAGTCATAAGAGTCATAGAGGACAAAGAACAGGAATAAAAAGAAACTAAGGGTGTAATGCCGGATTGCCCTCCTGTGACCTCGCTAAATAGTTTCCAGAACTTGAATAGTAACAATGCCGATGCGCCGTAGTTGAAATAAAAGGACAAGAAATCGCAGTAACTTTTTGGGACGTTGATCATGGTATCGTTAGTAAATAAAGATTTGGCGTTTTTTCACATTCAAAATGGTTCAAAAGACGCGCTATTGGAGGCCAGTGATCCGGCTCCAGGTGCGCTCCAAGCTGTGACGAGCTTTGTCCTTTGCACGATCAGCCAAGGACTCGTTGCTGGAAGAGCTGGTGCTAGACTCCCTGCGCTCCAGGGCGTTCGGGGATCTATCGCCGTGGAGGACCAAATTGCCGGCACCGCCGCGGCCGACATGGAAAACAGGAGCAATATCCTTTTCGCGGCGCATTTCGCGCTCTAGTTCTTCGTCGAAGCTGAAGATGGCGCGTTCACTGCTGCTGTGAACATTGCCGGCACCGCCGCGGCCAGACTTGAAGGTTGCTGGAGCGCTGGAGTCCAGACGAGTCAGCGATGCAGGGCCAGTGGCAGTCTGGGATTCGGTGGTTTTGGTATGGCGCAGCGAGATGACATTGCCGGCACCGCCGCGAGACGTGTGCAGGGCTGGGCGGCGAGTGTTTGGCACAGAAGGGTGCGGCTCAATGACGTGGTATGCAGACATGGAGGGAGACTTGCAAGCAGAGCAGGGCAGAGCAGAGCAAAGAGAACTCAGGTTGGGATGCACGATGGATTTTGCGGGGGAGGAAGGGGAGGCAGGGGGCAGGGAAGGAGGAGTCGGGTTATATAGTAGTCTATACCATCGTGGACGCCTCCATTTTCAGGTACCATCTGCGCAGTCATCTGACCTGGCGGGCCCTGAGAAAATTTTGCCGGGCGGGCCCAAAACGTAAGAGAAACCGGGCGGCTCGGCCAATGGCGCAGTTTGCTGGGGGTAATGGAAACTGCCCTTTGGAGCGAATGCTCAGCCTGGAGCATGCAATAGGCGGTGTCTCTGCTCGTGCTTCTGGCATCTGGTTGCTGGGCAGTTGGTGTCGATGAGGGAGGATTGTGCCTTCTGGCGCAACTTTGCTGCAATCGCACATGGCCCAATCAGCAGCACCTGTAAGACCATGCTTTGTCCAGCACCTGACTGACGTAGCCCCGAGAGCTCGCTGCGTGCTCGATTACGTGCTCGCCGTCGCTAAGCGCCTCGCCGTGACGCTTCTTGGCGGAAAAATTTTCAGGATCTCCTTTCGTCCTGGGTCTTCCCCGGATTTTCCGTGCTTAGTAATTAGCGCCTCGCTCCCCCGCATGACGCACTTGGTCGCTTTTCCTTGTTTACCCGATGACTCAGCCAAGGTCACATGCCGGCTGCTCACTAACTATGCTAGCCACGTTGGTTGTGTTTGGGAAGAGACTTTGCATTTGCTCCATTTCAATTTCATTCTATTCATAGTCTATTAGGATGACCCCAAGGCCTGAGGAATCTCGTCCTTCTCCAGATTCCGCTGCACATGCGTCGCATACAGCAGGCGGCCATCGTCCGACCACTCCGTAATATCAATAGAGTCCTTCACGATCCCTCCCGGAAGCCCTGACACTCTGACGAACGCCCAGACCTTATTCCCCTCCCGTACGGAGTCGATGAAATCCACGTGGAAATCTGGCGCACGAACGGTAGTCATGGTCTTGAAGTTTGTCAGAAGTGCTTCCTTGCCACGGAGCTCCTTTAGCGCATTCTTCTGAACCACGTCTGGGTGGATGTATTGTGCCGCCGTGTCGAAGTCACGTTTGTTGCTCATGAGATCCATGAACTCGAGCGCGCGAGCTTTGAGGTCGAATGTCTCAGTAGCCATTTGATTGTATTGATATGACCTGGGGAACAAATCAGTAGAGAAAATAAACTAGACACGAAAGAAGTAAACATACAGTGTGCTCTGTGGTGGATTCTGGATACTTCTGGGCTTGTTCTTGAGTCTGCAGTGCAGTGCAGTGCAGCTAAATAAGTGCTCGTTCGTCTTCTTCGTTTGGAATCGGGGATGCCTCAGGCGTAACAACCCGCCGATTGCTGCAAAACCCGCCGAAGGAGAGACTGACCTCCGAACCAATCAGCGACAGATTTGAACAACAGCTTTGGGTTCAGTAGGTTTTGATTGTATTGGTATCACTCTTCACCGTTGCTTTGGTGCTGAGATTCTGATATATAAATACTATATCAAATCCTGTATCTCTTGCCTTCAAAGTAGCGAAAAGAATAACCGTCATCGATACACTAATAGAGAGTAGAATGATGCATTTGCTCATTCAGGAGCACCACATCACGCAACTACGCTCTCTATTGCCCTATCTCCAGTTCATACTACCCAACGATCCAGAGTATCCTGCCGCAATATCTCGCTGGAACCCCGCAAACCAACGCAAACCAGGTATAATTGCTTTCCCGCTCACTACGCAAGATGTCTCATATCTGGTTCGCTTTGCACATGACAATCTTCTCGAAATCGCCGTCAAGGGCGGTGGAATGGGAAACCGCGGATCTTCTACCGATGGTGGTCTATGCATCGATTTGTCAGGCATGAGGACTGTCACCGTTTATCCAGCAAGCAAGCGTGTGGCTGCGGATGGCGGAGCGCTCTGGTCAGATGTCTATGCCCAGCTTGATGAGCACGACCTTGCAGTTGTCGGTGGCATTTCGCCCGCCGTGGGGGTTGGAGGTCTCTCGCTACATGGAGGACATGGGTGGCTAACCGGGGCCCACGGACTGGCACTAGATCAGTTCCTAGAGCTGGAAGTAGTCCTGGCTGACGGAAATATTATTCGGACATCTGACACCCAAGAACCTGACCTCTTCTGGGCCCTTCGTGGGGCTGGAAGTGCCTTTGGAGTCGTCACGCAGTTTGTGCTGAGAGCTTTCGAACAGCCAAATTCGGTCTGGACGGGTCGGCTTGTGCTTGCAAATCCCACGGAAAACATCAACGCTGTCATCAAAACAGCCAATAACATTCTATCAGAACAAGAGAAAGGCCAGTCCGCCATGTGTTGGGGGTGGACTGTGCCACGTCCCGAGACGGGGCCAGTCATCTGGGTTGTGCCCTTTTACAATGGAAGTGAGGAAGAAGCAAAGGAATTTTTTGCGCCTTTATTGAACCTTGGAAAGTCGCTGATAGTCAACTCGACCAAAGCCGTTCCGTTTTCGGCCTCTGCGAGTGACGGCGGAGGATCGTCAGGAGAAGGCCTAAGAAAACTTGGTCACGGAAGTGCCGTCATGGCTCCCTTGGATCCGGCTTTTTTTCGGGGCCTATATCAAGACTATGCGACATTTATGTCGCGGGTACCGGATGCTGGTAAGAGGACAATGATTATGTTCGAAATTCACAATACGAAAGCAACTACGAGACTCGCACAAGATGCGACAGCATATCCGAACCGTGGGAATCAGGTCAATGTGCAATTTGTCGTAACATGGGCCGAGAAAGAAAACGACGTGGCATGTGAGGAATGGTGTCGTCAATTCACGAAAAAGATGATCGATGATTTTCAGCGACGAAGAGATGAAAGCACTGTTGATGATGTTACGAAGGATAGTGTTGGATTGTATTCTAATTATAATGGTAACTTTCCACACCCCCCTCGGATATCCCAGAAACTGAAGGACACTGACGTATCCACAGGGTTTGGACTAGGAGCGAAAGATCTTTTTGGTGTCAATTATGATCGACTTGTGGATCTGAAGAAAAAGTATGACTCTGAGAATCTATTCTACAAGTTTTTTGATATCTTAGAGTAGCGTAGCATCTATTATTCCAGTCAGCAGATCAATTAACCTACTTTCCGTGACTCTGGGTATAATTTATCTGAATTTTTACCTATAGCTTGATTGTAAACGTTTCTAAACGAGCGATATACTGAGCCTCGCCCAACTTAGATAGAATAAACCAGCTTACGGCCAGACAACTCCGATGCCCTAATTAAATCCAACCCCTTCACAACCCCCTCCCATCTTCCACCCATCAGCTGCACTGGATGAGTTCGAACAATATCCTCACCCTGATCCAATAACCTCTGCATCTTCCCAAACAACTTCTTACCGAACTCATAATCCCCCGGCTGCGCATCACGACCATAAACACCATCCAGGGCAACCCGTTCGCCAAAAATGGTCAGCATCATAATCCATGACATCTTCACAGCTTTCCGAATCGAAGCGAGCCGCTCACGATAGGGTTCTAGAGCCACGTACCGTCCACCGGCTCGGCCGATGGCGGCTAGACAGAATTGGGTTGTTTGTGACAGAGATATGCAATCTAATGCGTAGACGAGCGAGTTGCGAGTGTAGGATCGGATTTCTGCTGCGGATCGCTCGTCGTGGTAGTCGAATACTTGCTCTGCACCGAACGAACGCACAAGGTCGAAGTTTTGGGGCGAACATGTTGCGATTGGCCGGAGGCCGGACCTGGGTTGCAGTAGAATGTTAGTTAAAAAAGTGATTCAACTATGTATGAACAAAGATATAGAACGCATGTTTACATTTTGGCCAGCTGAATAGCCCGTGTTCCCGTGGCCGTACTTCCTCCATAGATCAAAATAAATGGCATTGCTTTTGCTTTGCTGGGGGGCGGTTTCTGCACTTCCTCTTCTTGATTCTTCTCCTCGTTCAGGAAATCGAGTGATCCTGGCACATTCAATTCCTTAAACAGTGCCATTCCAGCAGTACCCAAGCCCATTCCCAAGGTAGCTGCATCCTCAAAACTCATCTGATCGGGGATCTTTAGCAAGAGGTCTGCCGTGGCACAGATATAATCGGCAAAGGCGCCGATTTCCGGTTTCAATGAATTCATCCCATGCACAAGGCCAGCAACACGGTCGCCTACAGCCAAGTGCGTCGGCACGCCTTCTTCCGCTAGAGCAACAATGATGCCTGCAAAGTCGTACCCATGAACCGCACCGGATGCAGCACTGTAGTCAAGCATTTTGGCGTCGACTGGGTTGATGGCGACGGCGGCTGTTTTCACGATGGCCGTATTAGGGCTAACGACTCGTGGGACAAGGACATCGTGGACGACGGCAACTTTTCCGGGCCCTTGGGCGATAATTGCTGTCTGGCGAGAAGGAAGAGAATCTACAAGTGACGGCATTTTCGATAGGCAATAAGTGCGTTGTCACTTTGTTTGTCGGTTTCTTTCTATTATCAACTACGTACTCCGTACCTGGTTACATACGCGCGGGCATTATTAATGCATGAATGCCCCCCCC